AGAATAAACATATAAGTTGAGCTGATTCATTCTAACATATTTGCAACAGAACTCAAAATCAGAACATGAAAAGGGAAAGCGAATAAACAATTAACTATGCAAATGTCACCTCCCCCTGACTGGCACCCTTGACAAGGCCAGCAATATCTACAAGTTCTATAGATGCTGGAACCGCCCGCTGAGATTTGCTGAGATCAGAAGGTACAGTGAGACGGGGATCTGGAACTGCGACAATTCCTACATTCGGCTCTATAGTACAAAAGGAAAGTTGCCAGCTTGAGCCTTTCCATTCTCAACCTACACACAAAAAACCCTTTTCATTTCAACACTGTGTATGGCTTCTTACAATACATAGCAGACAGAAATCCAGATACACAATATAACAGCCATCCGACAATTGGGGCAATACATGTATACGAAAAATAAACACTCCTTCCTCTTATGTGACTGAAAAAATGAAATGGGGAAGTAACTACTGATGCAAATTATGCAATCACAAATAAAAAATACGATATTTTCTTCTGAGTAAATTAAATATACAGTCAACTTTCTGAGTGAAATTAAAAATATGGTCTTTAAAAGCCTAAAATTAAAAGTACAATCTTTTCTCCTGAGTGAAAATAAAAATACAATCTTCATGTGCACAAAACAAACAGATAAATTTATAAAAATAAGAAATTCAAATGAAAATATGAGTTAACCTCGCTTGCACAAACCAAACATAATATGTGTGTGTGTGTGTGTGTGTGTGTGGACTTGCCGACGTTGGGGAGGCCAACGACGCCAGCTTTGAGGCTCATGCTAATTTTTGATGAGGGCCCCGCAGAGAAGCGCCGCCTTCTGCCGAAACCGGTGGCTATGACCCCCATCAGCTGTTGATGATTCCTCTGCTTCAGCGGAACGAGCAGAGATGGAAGTAGCTGACTGCATAGTGCTGTTCGAGCCATTGGAGCTTCGAAGCAACCACAAAGAGAGAGAGAGAGAGAGAGAATGTTCAATTTATCTGTTTGCGGGGAAATTTTGTGTGTCGCTGTGTTGTGTGTAATGTGTATTCAGGGAAATTGTTTTTTTTTTTTTTTTTTTAATTTCTTTATTTAAAAATTTTTGAGAAAATATTCATATTTAAATTTTAGAGCCCATAAATCAGAAAATCAAACCTTCAATAATTAGCTGGTTTCCTTGAGAAGAAAACCTCTTCAATTGCCTAAATTCTATGAGTAATGTTAGGAATGTTAAATTTGTAGATTAAGGATGTATTCAGTTGAGAATTTGAGAGATTTTAATTGATGAGGACCCAGCTAATTATATGTAAAATTTTATGGAGTTTAACTGATTTATAGATATTCTATGTAAAATTGTAATTCAATTCCCTCAAAATATCATGGGAAGATGTGAGATTTGTAGATGCTTAAAATATACTACAAAATCTCTCAATTCTCTCTAATTCCTCAACTTTTCCAAATTCTTTAAAGGGTAAACATCCAAAATAGTCCATAAGATTTGCATGATCAATAGAAATGATCCCTGAGATTGAAGATCAATAGAAATGGTCTCTTAGATTGTCCACCATCCATGATTTTGGTCATTCCGTTAAAAAATATTTGGGCAATTTTCAAAGCTTCATAACTCAATCGATTATTAAACAAATTCGACCCATAATATATCAAAATGAAGATAAGATAGTGTAGAACAATATTATACCTATTTGGAAGCTCAATAATTGCCGAAGATTGCCAGAAAATAGCCTGAAAGGTGACTGGTCCGAGGGAAAACTGGAAAACTCACCGGAAACTGGGTAAACTTTAAACGTTCGTAACTTCTTCAATACTCAACAAAATCTAGTGATTCACAAATGAAAATCATACTTCTCGACGAGACGAAGAGAATGACATCTTTCTTGACTGCTAACTTACCGTGGTTTGGCCGGAAAACTGCTCGAAAGTGGCTAACTGGAAAATGGTTAGCCACTTTCGAGCCATTGTCCAACCAAACCACGGCGAGTTAGCCTTCAAAAAAGGTACCCTTCTCTTCGTCTCATCAATAAGTATGATTTATGATTTTCGTTTTTGAAACACTCGATTTCGTTGAGTATTGAAGAAGTTATGAACGTTTAAAATTTACCTAGTTTCCAGCAAGTTTTCCAGTTTTCCTGCGAACCAGTCACCTTTCAGGCTATTTTTCGGCCATCTCCGGCAACCATTGGGCTTCCAATAATCTTATTCTACACTTTCCTATCTTCATTTTGATATATTATGGGTCGAATTTAATTAAGAAACGACTAAGTTACAAAGTTTTGAAAATTGCCCAAAGAGTTTTTAACGGAATGACCAAAATCATAGATGGTAGACAATCTCAATGACCATTTCTATTGATTTTCAATCTCGGGGATCATTTCTATTGATCATACAAATCTTAAGGACTATTTTGGATGTTTACCTTTCTTTAAATTCTAATTCTAATTGAATACACTTTGAATGTTATAAACTTCTTTAAAATTCTAATTGAATACACCAGGATTTCTAAGAATTTTAATAAACTATCTTAAAACCGAATTAAATACACATTAAAATTCAGATAATCACTTAAAATCCTGATTAAATACCCCTAGATTCATTAAAAGAATTAAAATCTCTCAAAATCCCAATTGAATACACCCTCTAAGTTTTGTAAACTAAATGATATGGAAGTTGATGATTGAATTATTACTTAAACGTTGATAAACGTGCTCATTTCTTAATAGTGACACATCATTTAGTTTGTAATTTTAGTCTCCTTAGCATTACTCAAATTCTATACACACAATTGGGGATGTAGTTCATTTGAACAAGGTGAAGAACTTGTTCCTTATATAACAATTTGTCCAAGTATTTAGGGCTCATTTAAAACTACTATGTAAAAAGCGTTTTTTAGAAATGTTTTTATTCTGTCAAATTTTTTATTAAATATAGTCCAAATATAGTCCAAAGTAAGATTGGTTTTCTGTAAACATTTTTAGGTGAGTGAACACGTTATTACATGATTGATTGGTTTGTCTCTAATCTTAAATTCCATTCCATGTAATAGGTTTTTTTTTTTTTTTTTTTTTTTCCTGACCATCTAACAGGTAGTTTACCCATAAGTGCTTCTGTTATAAGCACTTTTATCATAAAACATCAAAACTTTTGTTAAATATCCAAATTCTTTATGAAAAAATCACTTCATAAATCACTGCTCATAAGCACTATAAATTTATTGTATTTTACACCCTTTGAATTTGGAGTGATTTTTAAATATATAGTACTATTCACATACTCATTTTTACCTCCTACACATCCTTATTTTTTTTTGTTTTGTCATTGATCCTTTTTAATCAATCTGATGGACAAAAATTGAGAGGGGTGTGTGAGAAGTAAAAATAAGTGCGTAGATATCACTACCCTTCATATTGCATCCTAAAGTGTGTAAATTATATCAATTTGTGTCTTCGATCTAATTTATTGTATGAAAATTCATTAAATTGATGACATGGTGGACTTGCGACCCTTATGTGAGAGATTTTTTGTGTGTCCGGAATAAGAGGTGGTACGCCACTTGAGATCCTTATATGAGAGAGATTTTCAATTGTGTAAAGTTTTTTTCAAGTGTTACTCTAGTTGTATAATTATATGTGGCGTATGGCTCCGTGTTCCAAGCACACTAAAAAGTCTGTCCTTGTATGGGCTAACTTGTAAGCCACATTTGATTATCTGAAATAGATCAACATGTATGGAATTTAACATATAGAACATATTCATTTTGATTTTGCGTTTTCTTTTCATTTTTACAGAGAAGAAATGGAATTATATTAAACTAAAGTGTCAACTTTATATGTCATACTATGGTTTAATGATATTTCTATTCGTTTGTTAATAAGAGGTCTTATGTTCGATTATCGTCAAAGGCAAATTTGAACCAAATTATTGATAACCCATTGTGAAGCTTAGCATATCCCCTCTCCCTTAGCGTAAATAATATTGTTTGTTCTGTAAAGAAATAAAGTGTTAACTTCATATAAAATGTCTACATCAACTTGGTATAAAAATATTTGAAGAGTTTTCTAAAGAAACATTTTAGAGATAGCTTTTAAGTCAACATGTATAAAAGAAGTCTTGCTTTTTTTTTCTTTTTCTTTTCTTATGAAGCTATGGATTTGATTGAGAAGGGGATTTGTGCCTAAGTTAATTAATAAAAATCAATCTTGCACTTGAAGTCTCAAATTCAATTTTCTTTTCAACATTGGTTTTAGATGAAATTTTTCTTTACCCACTTCTAACAAAAACGTCAATGAGAAAACATTAATGGTACAAAAGTTTCTAGAAATAAATTTGTATGCAAGATTACAATGGAGCATTACACTTTTTTCAATCCAGAATCACAATATTACCCTTTACGTATCTATCATAACAGTTAAAATAAATAATTATTATTACGCTGCAAAAGTGCACGTAAAAGACATAGAATAACTTCATTAACACGCTATAACTGTCTCTATTCCATCTTTATTTTCTATTCCAAATCAATTATTATCTTTATTGTATTCATTTTAATATTCACTCCCATACCTAAACATGACTTTAATTCGAGTGTGGGTCTCCTTTCAATGGTGAGTGTTTCCTCTCACATCACCCCTACTTAAGGGGAGGAGGATTCTCTCTTTTTCTAATCTCTCTCCTCTCCTCTTCCCTCTTATTTAAACGGTTATTGTACGATTTAGCCACGTTAAGATCTTATATTGATTTTTTTATAAAAATAATAAGACAAAAAAATAATATGTAAAAAAAGAGGAGGAAAGAAAATAAGAATAGAAAGGGAAAGAATCTTACTTGCTACTTTAGCCCATATAAATCAAGAAAAGCATTTCCACTACCGACTTCTACAACCTCCTTTTATTTTTCAATTTTATTGTATTTTCTAAAACTTTTTCAGAAAAAAAAAATATATATATATAAAAATATTTTCACCTCACCGTCCTCTCTTTATTTTATCAAATCCGTCGATCCAATCCCAGTTTTAATAAACCAAAAAATCCCTATCAAAATATTAGAAAAAAAAGGCTCAAACTTTATCCCCTGCCTGCCTGTCTTAGGGTTCTTTTTCGTCTCACAAATCCAACCCAAAGACAGCAGCTTGGCCGAAACCATGGTGGATTCTTGTACCCCAACCACTGTACAGTTCTTCTCACCAGTTTTTCAATCGTCAGCTTAGCGGAAAAACCTCACACAGATTTCAGCTTACAAGGGTTTTTGCTCCTCTGTTTTTAGATTCAAATTTTGCTTCGGAGATTCGGTTCCTGATTAATTTTTAGGGTTTACTGGGTTCTGTTCAGTTTTCGCGTTCTTTGATTACATTTGAATATCTATATCTATATATATATACGTATATATACTGGATATATAGGAGAAATAGTGTAGGAAATGGAGGGGTTTGAAAGTAGGGGTAGTATTCAAGAGGCTGCCTCTTCTATCCCGCAAGATCTCAACCAATTGCAGCTTAATTCCTCAGGTTTGTTTCTCTGAGCTTTCTGGGATTCTTCTGTTATTGGTTTTTCATGATTTGCTTTGCTGTTTTGATTATTTAGTATTGTTTTTGGATCTGGGTTCTGTTTGGCTGCTGAGAAAACAGACCGTAAAAGTGGGAAATTTAACTGTGAATTGTTAATGGAGAATTTGATACTGTTTACTGGAAACCAAATGGAACAGTTTTTGGATTGCTGTGTTGTTCACTTTGGTGTTTGGACTATGTTCCGTTCGTGTTGTTTGAATGTAGTTATTAACTACTTTGTGGTTCAGCTTAGGATTTGAATAATTGTTGGACAAAGGTTTAATATAATCTCGTGCTCGCCTATGCTTTTTTGCAGCCAATATAAATATGGTTTTGGTGTGTCTTTCAGATAAATAAAATGTTCTGCAGTCAATCGGAGGTCTCCATACTTCATAATATTTACTCTTTTAAAAAAGAAACCCTAACTTGGTTAATTATGTAATTAGTTTTATACAAGTTTCAATTCTCTATGTCAATGTATGAGACTCAGTAATACAATATTTTCAATAGCTATTTGGCTTCTTGAATAAGTAGTTGCATGGTGCTTTATTGGAAAGTGTTCTTTTTTCTGCTTCATTACGTAATTATTTGGAGCATCATTTCATTCTTCGTTTGACTTTGACTTCTTCATTTTATGCAGGAGAGGTATTCGACGCATCGCAGTATGCATTTTTTGGTAAAGATTCTGTTGAGGAAGTTGAATTGGGAGGTTTAGATGAAGAGGAGGCTCCAGTTGGGTTTGATGAGGAGGAGTTTCTGTATAATAGACAAGAGGTTAAACCTTTTGTTCACTGATTTTTATAATAATCCCTAAGTAAACATGTGCAACCTGTTTGGTGCATGACCGAACTCTATGTCCCTCGTTCCTCCTCTCATATATATATATATATATATATATATATATATATATATAAGTCCCTCTTTTCTTTCTAAGTTTTGACTGTTGTAGGTGTTAAATGGCAGAAGGAAAAATTGCAATGGGTCGAACTAACTGTTTTTTTCTTATTGGCAGGTTGACATATCTCTATCTGATATTGATGACCTATCATTAACCTTTGAAAAGGTTAGTTTACTGCAAACTTAATGATGCAGGTAGTAAAGATGCATTATTTTGTATAAAACTCTCAACCAAAATGAAGCGGGTTAAACTAGTCCTGATGTTTAGTTATTAGTGTTTTCATTCTGTTTAATTTTCTGTTTCACAATGGGCGAGGGCATTTTGAATCAGAAAATTCTGACAATTCAGTTGGGAACCAAAATGTGGGAAAACTGTGTTCAACATCTTTTAAGTCCTGTTTTTATTTCAGTGAGTGTTCTTCTTTATTTAAAAAAAAATTATGACAAGTCAGTTGTTTGTTTGGTAAAACAGGGTAGAATTATTGGTTGTTAATTTATGTGCATCTTAAGATGGAACATGAAGAGTGGTTGTTATTTATTTATTAGTTACTTTTTTTTGTGGGAGGGAGGGGTTAAAGGTGAGTTGGGTGAGTAGTTTGGACGGTTCCAATAACACCGCTCTTATCGAGGGTGGATAGAGTATAGCAATAGTGATAAAAAGATGAATCTTAGGTGATGGGAACCGCTCTCATTGAGGGTGGTTGGAGTATAGCACTACTGATAAAAAGATGAATCTTAGGTGATGGAACTGCAAGTGGCATACCAACTTAGCGTGGGGGAAGAAAGCAAAAGTCTTATAGGGCTAGCAGTTCATTTGGTTTTATAAGGTGGCTGCTAGGAGAATTTGGGGAGACGGTGTTAGATTTTGGGTTCTCTATGCACACCATCGCAGCTGAATGTAGGGACCCTTATGATGGGATATTTTCTTTTTTAATCTGTGCATGCTCATTTTTTCTTCTACATAATAAAAGTGTGTTGCTTCTCAGAAAATATGGCATGCCTCCATCTTGCATTTGTTCTCAAACATTCAATTCTTGCGATTGAATGCCCTGCCCTTTTAAGATGTTTTATTTAATCATGTTGAGACACGAAGAAATCATTAATTTCATAATTTACTGTTACAATTTTGTATCATATGGCCTTTATATTTACTTTAGTGAACTGTGTGCTAGTAATTTGGGTTAATTGTTTCATGACAAGAAGTAGTGGAGTCTGTTTATCTGGAGTTTACCATGAATTTATGATCAACAACAGTGTAGCAATATGAATGGAATGCACCTCTTGTAGTGGACCTTGGATATTTCTTTTGTAGTGTAGCATTTCTCTTCGTCCAAACCAGTTTCTCTATCAATAGGTTTATTCTTTTTGAGTTGCATGTTTAGGGCAAAATTCATTGCACTGTGAGTTAGGGCGTGCTGGTTGTGGATAATTATGTTTCCTGAATGTGTTGTTTCTGTTGTGCTTATGGTTAGACTTTAAATTTTGCTTGGTAGGAAGCATGAATGCATGGTATTTTACTTTTGAACCAGCAAATGAAATTAACACAGGCTACTTATATACCTGGTTATAGGAACTAACATTTTTTAGGTCAAATTTTTGTGTGAAGTTATAAGTTCTGTAGAGAATTTGAAATCTGGCTGCTAATATTAATCTAAGCTTTCTAATTCTGTGCTAACTTACAACATACCGTTTGAAGTTTGAGCCGTAAAGTTTCCATTGTTGTTATTATATCTTGAGGTATTTCTGGGTTTTGTGTTCTAAGTCACTGTTTTGGCTGCAGTTAAACAAGGATGTTAGTGGAACTAGGAGTGCTGGAGTAATTGGTGATAGAGGATCCAGAGAAAGTGAGTGCAAATGTCGGTTATCTTTTTTTTTGCTAAGTTGCTATAACCCTGCTTCAAGCCTGGTTCTGTGTAGACTGAATATCTTTTCAGTTGATTGCAAAGCCTTCATTTGTTTCTATGATAACACAGCAACATTATTATTATTATTTAATGGTTTCTGTTAACCCGGCCACAATTATTCTTATTTCATGGTTTCTGCTGAAACCTTGTAAAGTATAGCCATAGGTAGGATATTGAAGAAGTTCCTTTTAGGTTGGATCTGTGTTATATTATGATGCGAAACCTAGAAGTGAAATATTTACTTTGACCGTTTGGTTTTGACGTGCACATCATTCTATCCGTTGGAGAGTTTTTTCTTCATTTGTGTTTAAGCTTTGATGAAAAGTGCTAGTGGCGTGCTGTGTTTGGAATCAGTTGCAGTCCAATAATTATGACTAGTCGATTTGAGTTCACTGTTGTGTCCTTGAGGACTTATTGAATATATTTGATATGTTGATGTCCATAGAAGCTTCTAATTATAACATGTTTCTTCCAGGTTCATCTGCTGCTGAGTGGGCGCAGGAGCATTTTCCTAACTGGATTGATGAAGAGATACTTGATGCTGAAAGCACTCAGGATGGGAAACGATGGTCTTCACACCCATATTCTTCAGCTCGTCCAGCAGACTCGATGCCTTTGTATAGAACTTCTTCATATCCTGAGCCCCAACAACAGCAGCTGCAGCAGCAGCAGCATCAACATTTTTCCAGTGAACCAATTCTGGTGCCGAAATCAGCTTTCACTTCTTATCCACCTCCAGGTGGCAGACCTCAGCAGGCTTCGCCAAACCGCCAAGCAAGCCACCTGAACCCATATCTTTCTGGTGGGCCCCAGGGGGGGTTGTCTTCACCAAACCTATCTCCTTACTCTAGCTCTCAACTTCAACTGAATGGATTACCTCATGTATCGCATTTTGGTGGAAATTTGCCTCAGCTTAACCCTGGTCTCTCTAATAGCCGACCCCAAAAGCAATGGGCCAATCAAAGTGGTGTTTATGGAGATCATCCGGGTCTTATGAACAATTTGTTGCAACAACAGCTAGCTCATCAGAATGGTTTAGTGCCTCCACAATTGATGCATCAGCAACAGTCACAACCACAGGATCCTAGACTGCATCATCCAGTTCAGCCATCATTTGCTAATTTGTCGGTAATGCAGTCTCAACTGTTTAACCCCCATCTTTCTGCATCCCCGCCCTTGGTGAGCAAGTTTGAAGCAATGCTTGGTATGGGTGATCTTGGAGATCAAAGGCCAAAATCAGCTCAGAAAGTTAGACCGAATATGCGTTTTTCTCAATATGGATTTGATACAGGTAGCCACAGGAGGGAAGGTGGGTGGCCACAATTTAGGTCCAAGTATATGACAGCTGATGAAATTGAAAATATACTCCGAATGCAGCTAGCTGCAACACACAGCAATGACCCATATGTCGATGATTACTACCACCAGTTTTGCCTTTCAAGAAAATCTGCTGGGGCCAAGTTGAAACACCATTTCTGCCCAACTCAATTAAGGGATCTTCCTCCTCGAGCACGAGCTAATACTGAACCACATGCTTTTCTCCAGGTTGATGCTCTTGGGAGAGTCCCCTTCTCCTCAATACGGAGGCCTCGCCCTCTTCTTGAAGTTGAGCCTCCAAATTCATCTAGCCCTGGCAACACTGAACAAAAGGTTTTTGAGAAGCCGCTAGAGCAGGAGCCAATGCTTGCTGCTAGGGTTGCAATTGAGGATGGGCTTTGTCTTCTCCTGGATGTGGATGACATTGATCGTTTTCTACAATTCAATCAACTCCAAGATGGTGGAACCCAAGTGAGGCGTCGGCGGCAGGCCTTGCTTGAAGGACTTGCAGGATCTCTTCAATTAGTTGACCCACTTGGCAACAATGGCCCCACGGTTGGGCTTCATAAGGATGATCTTGTATTTCTAAGGTTAGTCTCACTTCCCAAGGGCCGGAAGCTCCTGGCAAAGTACCTGCAGCTTTTATTTCCCGGTGGTGAGCTCATGCGAATAGTCTGTATGGCCATCTTTCGTCATTTAAGGTTCTTGTTTGGTAGCTACCCTTCTGATCCAGTGGCTGCAGAAACTACAAATATTCTTGCAAGGGTTGTTTCATCATGTGCTCGAGGTATGGACCTTGGTGCACTTAGTGCCTGTCTTGCAGCAGTGGTTTGTTCCTCAAAGCAACCCCCGCTTCGCCCCCTTGGAAGCCCTGCAGGAGATGGGGCCTCTCTTATCCTCAATTCAGTTCTTGAGAGGGCAACTGAACTCTTAACTGATCCTCATGCTGCAAGCAACTACAATATGACCAATCGGCAACTTTGGCAGGCCTCCTTTGATGAATTCTTTGGCCTTCTGACCAAGTACTGTGTAAATAAATATGAAACTGTAATGCAGTCACTGCTAATGCAGGCCCCTCCGAATGTGGCTATTATTGGCTCAGATGCAGCCAGGGCAATTGGTCGTGAAATGCCAGTTGAACTGTTGCGTGCGAGCCTTCCTCACACTGATGAGCATCAGAGGCAGCTGTTGTTGGACTTCACGCAGCGGTCTATGCCCATAGGATCATCTAGCAGTGGTGATGGGGGAAATGGTTCTCACATGAATTCAGAGTCTGTGCTGAGTTGATGCTAAACCATGTGGAGAACCAAGAAGCAGAATTTCGAGAAAGAAAAGGAATGAGAAGACATTCTATTGGATTGCGAAATTATTGGGTTCTTTTCTACTTGTGCTTTTACTTGTGAGCAAATGCAACATCTTAAGCGAATAAAGTGGGTGTTTAAGAGCATATATATGGTTCGGGTAAGTTTAGTAGTTTAGCGTCGTATGTTATATTTTACTTATTTCCATGCTTATCTTGAAAAACTTGTAAGCAAGCCTCTCTTTGTAATCCCTTCAAATCCCGAGGGATGGTTTTCCTATTTTTTTTTAATGTTTAGGAGGGGGAATTGGCGGAGTAGATATATTTCCTCAACTTAGGAGCTTATTTTGATGCTCTGTTGTGGAATTTTAAAAATAGAGATGTAGGAGGGCTTTTATTATGATGCTCTGTTGTGGTATCTTTAAAAAGACATGTAGGAGGAGGAGGAGGAGGAGAGGGGTTTATGTACAGCTTTCGGTTCTGTTGATCTCCCACATTCTTGCAAGGAAAAGGGTGTGACCCGGTGCACCCAACTTTTGCTGATGCGGGGTTAGGGAAGGCAGATGATGCAGTGACAGCCACTCCGGACAGATTGCTTTCGCGACTTGAATCGACAATTCTTAGTTAATTTTCGGGCCAGTCTTCCATTATGAAGGCTCGCATTCGTTTACTAATATTAGTATTGAAGAATGTTGGATGTAGTATTTGTTATGGTTGTGTTCGATTCTTCTACAGTAATGGCATCAGGGGCCGATGCAGATAAGGGTTCTCGTCTTCTACACGTAGTATGTTTTTTCTGTGGGTTGAGTTTTGAACTTGAAAAACAGTATGTTCCATTTGGTTGGTGCTCTCTGTAGATGCCCTGTAAACTCATTGTTTCAGTTGACTATTAAGTTCTTGCATCTTATTAGGCTGTGGGCGGCCGGGTAATATGTCGCCATCTTGTACTCTTTTCGTGCGATATATCTCCTGTTACACCTAGAATCTCCCCTAATTTGGAGTTGCTAGTTTACTGTTTGTTGGATGTTACGTTTCCGTCAAATACCTTTTATCTGAAAAAAGAGGAAAAAAGTCGTTTCTTACCAGAAAATGCCATGATCCTTGGTGATTTTGAAAATCCATCAAATGTCATGATCCTTATGAATCTAATCACCGCCTTCGACAGTGTAAACTAAGTTTAGGTTCATTTTTTGGGTCAATAGTGAGTGAGAGTTGAAACTTGAAACTCTTCGAGTTAGTTTCGTTTTTTTGTGTTGCAGATAGAGAGAAAATATGTTGGGAAAAAGAAGTGTTTTGACGACTGAAAATTGGAAACTAGAAACAATTATAATTTGTTTTCGCTTTTATGTTTTGTTTTTGTATAATCAACTTCATTTCGGCCGCCTCCCAACTACTATTTTCGTCCTTCGTTCTTCATTTTTATTTTCTTCCTTCGTTCTTCATTTTTATTTTCTTCCATATACTTTTCCGCATAACACAAACAATGTAAATTCAAAACTAAAAACTAAAAGTGAAATAGTTATCAAACATGTCCTAGTGTTTCTTTACGGAGAATCCTGGCTCGTCTTGTTTCATTATGATTGATCCTCTCGAGAGTTCAATGTCGATGGTGTATCTGGAGAACGACATGCGTATTGGCTTGGTATCAATGTAGCATGAACAAAAATATGGAGGCCACGAAGACGAACGTTAGCTGTTGAGATGCTGCTAGGGTTCCATATGGAAGATGCTTTCACTTTCAGTCTCTGGGGTTTTGGAGGAACTTGGGAGAGTGGTAAGTGTGATGTCGTATTCACACTGCACATATATTACCACGGCTAAATACAGGAGGGTTTAGATGTCGTTTTCAGAATATGGCACAACTTATTTAATTCACTCAAGAGGTAGTTCCAAATCGATGCACCAAAATTGTGAACCATTTTTCAAGTTTTCCACACTTGGTGTGCTCGTGTCGACCAAATGCTCGACGCCAAAAAGACCTTTTTATATTTGTAACAAGACTTTAAGGCAAGAAGAAGACTTTGTAGCAACAATTTACTTGGATTTAAGTGTTAGTCATATCTTGCACTCTTCGAATTTTGAATTTTGGAGGTCCCTTATCTTTTAAAACATGAAAAAAACAACTATGACTCGTTTGGATGTGCTTTTAAAATGACCGAAAGAGCTTTTAAAGAAAATATTTTTTTGTTCCAAAAGCACTTAAAGTGCTTCCTGAAAGAAGCACATGATTTGTGCTTTTTCCAGCAAGCACTTTAAGTGTTTTTCCATAATTTATTTACATTTTTACTAAGAATTGATTTCAAAAACATTTTCACCAAAAACATTTTCAGTCATTTTAAAAGTACATCCAAACGAGCTTTATAATGTTTGAAATTGCTACTCCATTAGCCTCACTTGACTACCAAGTGAACTGCTACTTTTTAATGTAATGCGTGATAGTTAATCACCATTGCCCATAGGACGCCAAATTGATGTTGAAAGGATCATTTTTATCTCTTCCTATATCAAAAGGGTTAGGAATTTTCGTTGAAGAAATTATTATCAGTTGTCTTTTGTAGACTCAAGTTAGCATCCTACGTTAGTAAAAATGGGTTCATCGAGTTCTAGGTCAAAAAACAACGATTCACTAGACGGTTGGGGGTGAAAGAGGGGTCAATAGTGCAATAATTCTTAACTTCATAAGCATTTTGTGAAATTTTAAAAAGATACATGTCGAGCCGTCACAGGCTTCAAATCATAAGATGGTCTTTAGGCTTATCTTGCGTTTCCTAAAAAGAAATAGATAATTCAACCACCATTTCCTAATAAATGTGCCTAAATATGAAAGCAGTCCACAACTGACAACGTCCTATTTCTTGTAGGGAACTTTCAAGGTGAACTTTAGATTAACAAGTTCTCCATATTTGCTTTCCTAAAACTACAAGGCCCGATGACTAGATATTATGCTAAAAGCAAACCAATTGTTGAATAACTTGTACATTCTGCAAAGTATACAATCCCAATCCACCTTTCTTCTTTTTCCCTTTTTCTTTCTTTTGGAATTTTGAAGCACTCAAATTCGTACTAACCACAACCCTAAGAATCTACCACGAAGCTTGGAAAGTAAATTAGAAGAAGGGAAAAAGAAAACAGAAAATTGGAGTTATGGATCTTCAACTTTGGTTTAATTTCAGCTTTGGTTCTTGAATAAAAAAATCCGTGAATAATGATTTATGAACTCATCGCACTGTTAAGCAACAATGCTTTTGAGTAACACCACTAGAATTTCTGCCTAAAATAAAAGGTTTTAACAAACAAATAAAATATATAATTAGTTCTAACGAGTTACTGAAAGAACTATTACTCTACATTGTGACAAGTTCATGTACTAATACTACGATGTTTTATTTCCGAATTCAAAAACTCTAATTTCAATTTTCTCAACAGAAAAAGGAAAGAGACACAATTGCATTTATAAGCACCATGTGCAAGTTCATAAGAAATGCAAAGAAAACAATAAATTTGCAAACGTGAAATGCTAAATATATGTTTGAATTAAATGTCGATTAACGTACTTATTTCTTATTGGTGACACATTATTTGGTTTGTAAATTTAGTGTAAAAATTTGATCTCTCAAACATTATCCTACGTGAAATATGTTAAATAATAGAATGGGCCATGCTTCCAAGAAACAAGAAATTAATTCAAGCAAGAATAGTCCATGCTGAGATCTTCAATATAAATTGGGAATCTCAATTCCATATTTTTTTACCTAAAAAATTAGGAATTGGATCCTCTCATGAGCAAAGGCTCGGGATCCTCTTGATTCAATAACACGGGCCGTTGAATTTTAATCTAACAGTTATAAATAAAAGGCTCCTCTAAAAATTATAATAATTATAATCGTTGAATCAAAATTTAACGACCTAAGTTAATAAATTACGAGTATCCCAAACCTTTGCTCATAAGAGGATCCAATTCCAAAAAATCAATCAAATTCTGCAGTTCTTGGGCTTTGTAATTTTTGTCCACAAACAAGTTAACGCGGCCACCTTTAGAACAGCAGAAGGGGCATCAAGTTGTCTCGGTGGTCAATTAAAGCAAAGCCGACACTCAAGCGCAAAAAGAGATTGAGCAATTAAGCCAACAAAGTATGTAATTCCATTAATTAATTAATGGATTAGAATACTCCACCCAACTTTATTCAACTTTAGACTAAAGATTATTAATTCACGAACCAGTAATTGAATTCTTTCCACGTGTTGAGATCGATCGAAAATGAAACTTTATCGTATGGTACTATAACATCGGAACGTGATATAATTAATTTAGCTGTTAGGGTATAGCATTAAGAATCGACCTAATTGACTCTTTACGTAATTTGACACATGAAAAAGTAATTCATTCAAAAGATATTTCACCGGTTCAATTTGTTCATATTCTTGAACGAAAAATTATTATACGACATTAGAACACAACAAAGTAATTTAAGTTTTAACTAAAACACATATTACATTATGATGAACGATAAATTAATACTTGATGCAATAATAATAACCAATCCATGTGTTATAATACATGCATGCTAGAAAAATACTAAGGAGACTCTCTTAAAAGTGAAACTCTACCCAAACTTTATGATATCTTATGTTTTTAACATAATATTTTATAATGTTAACACGAGAATTAACGATAAACTCGTAGGTCAGAAAATCCATAAAGACTTGAAAAGTCTCCTTAGAATTTCTATGCATGCTATGCCATGTGAGTCTCTATCTTCTAGACCTCTAGTAGAAGAGAATAATTTCTCAATGAGAAGTACTTTATCACCCAATAAAGACTTTGGTATTCATGCTTCTTCCTACTTAAACTCTGCTCTAAGAACAAAACAGATTTAGGCAAGCTGCCACTTCCCAGTTCCCACTGCTTTCACTACTCTTTCTCTTAAAAAATGGGTTCCTCAGAATTCTCTCTCTTCCAACCATCACCAAAACGCTCCGTTCTCCACAAAGCCCCTTCCCTAATAGCAGATGGCTTTCTCTTCGTCGGAGGTGCATCGTTGGCTCTCTCTGTTGTCTGGGCTCTCCTCACCTTCATAAACCCCACCACCATAAGCTTCGACAACATCATCGCATGGAACGCCGGGCCATGCGGACCCGACTTGCGCTCTGACCCGCCGGAACCCACGTTCTACGACGACGAAAATCTCAGCTACGCGTTTGGGGAACCAGTGAAGGATTGGGACTCCAAGCGCAGAGAGTGGCTGAAGCTCCACCCTTCATTCGCTGCCGGAGCCGCCGTGGACAACAGAGTTCTTCTCGTGACTGGGTCACAGCCCACAGTGTGCAAAAACCCAGTTGGGGACCACTTGCAGCTGAGGCTCTTTAAGAACAAAGTTGATTACTGTAGGATTCATGGGCTCGACATATTTTACAACAATGTTTTGCTGGATCCCAAGGGTACTGGGTTCTGGGCTAAATATCCGCTTTTGAGAGCGGCTATGTTGGCCCATCCCGAGTCTGAGTGGATCTGGTGGGTCGACTCAGACGCGGTTCTCACCGACATGGAGTTCAAGCTTCCGTTGGAGAAGTACAAAGACCACAACTTGGTCGTGCATGGGTGGTGGAACATGTTGTATGAGCAGAAGAGCTGGACGAGCCTCAACGCTGGGGTTTTGTTAATAAGAAACTGTCAGTGGTCACTGAACTTGCTCGATAAGTGGGCCAGCATGGGCCCACAGGGTCCCGATCCCAAAAACTGGGGGAAGATCCAAAAGTCCTTGATCAAGGACAAAGCATATCCAGGCTCTGACGATCAGTCGGCTCTGATTTATCTCTTGATAAAGGAGAAGTCGAAATGGGCGGATAAGATTTACTTAGAGAGCGAGTACAACTTGCATGGGTACTGGCTGGGGATAGTGGACGGGCTTGATGGGATAAGCAAAGGGTACCTGGAGATTGACAGGGAGGTGGATTTGCTAAGGAGGAGGCATGCAGAGAAGGTCAGCTTGTTTTATGGTCAAATGAGAGAGAAGTACATGAGAGAGAGAGGGATTTGGAGAGAGAATAAGAGGAGGCCATTTGTGACGCATTTCACAGGGTGTGAGCCTTGCAGTGGAGAGCACAATGGAATGTACACTTGGGAGGCTTGTTGGAACGGGATGCAAAAAGCTTTGAATTTTGCAGATAATCAAGTGCTTAGAAGATTTGGGTTTGTTCATCCAGACCTACTCAATTCTTCTTGGGTTTCTCCTTTGCCATTTGATTTCCCAGATGCTTGAGTTTATTGGTTTTCCTTTGTTTAATTAGTGTGTAATTCTGCAGTTTGTGCCTTTTGCTTTTAATAGAATGTGTAAATATGTAACAAGAGAGCCTCTCTGTGGAGGACTTAAGTACGCCGGCCCGCGGCGTGCCAGGCACCGCGCTTTTGGTCTAGGGCATGGCCGGCGGTGTAGGAAAGTCTCTCTCCTCTTGAGTCTGATTGCACTTCGATGCACTTCTGGATTGTGTTGGAAAGTTGGATTTTAAGCAACGTTCAAGATTAAACAGACATATTTCTTGAAATTTAAGCATGTGTTTAGTCTTCATTCCCACCCATATAATTTACAGTAAGTCTTTGATGTTCTTTGTATTAACCTAATATTTCTCTTCTTTCTTTTCTCTTAAAAGACTGAATTTGTCAGTAAAGAATTTTATAGTGTAAATTATGGTGAGAATTGTGCCTTCTTGAATTGGTGCTGCAAAACGATTTCCATGATTACACCAAACTAAGGATAATATTAGGAAACCAAATTTGTAAAACAAATTATGCATCACCAAGATGAAATAAGCACGTTAATCAACATTTAAGTAATAATTCAATAATTAAATACCACGTCATTTGGTTTTTAAATTTGCAAATTTGATTTAAAAATTTGATCTCTTTAGTATTAATAGTCTAATTTGCTCCAAAATGCTTAAAGTATAGCTTGCAAGAAAAATGATATAAAACGCAAACTCCTTTTCTTATATTTCTCTCATATCAAATAAATCCCACACAAACAACATTCTCATTGAAGAAATTCTTGGGTGCGGTCGTCTGTCAGTGCATACAAAACACCCCATATCTCTTGTTTTGGTCCAGCTCTTGTGTTTGATGATAATTTGTTATGAATGTCCATATTGAAGAATATTTCGGATATTTATAATTAAAGGAAAATATTATTGGCATTCCAAAAATCTTATTCTACACTCCTTACAAGTGTATTTTTCTTTCTAAATATAGAACGTTTGGAGTGTAGAATGAAATTTTTGGAGTGTCAATAACAATTCCCTAATTAAAAGATAAAAATTAGAAATAGAAAAGTGCACTTAAACCCATCTTCCAAATTTTTTGACTACATCGTTTTTCTTTATTTAGCGTGCTTGATCATATTACCCATGAAACATGATACTTTGAAGGGCCTTAATTAGTGGAGCTTGACACGCCCGCGTGGCTCTCATGCATGCTAAGAGTCAAAAGACTACAAAGTTGACGGACCCTATAAATTTCGTTGTCATGCCAGGTCTCCAAACTGGAAGAGTCGCCCACCACCAATTCCGTCGCTAAAGCCGCCCTAATTGGTGAGGAAAATGATACTAAGCTCCAACCTCATGTCAAACCCGTGACACATTACCCATTGAACTGCATGCCACGCATAGCCGCTAGGGTTCAACAATGGAAAGCAACTCATCATATTGCCACCTTCACAAAGGCCCCCAAAGGCATCGAAACCCCACAGTGTTTTCCATTAGGGCCTAAGGCAGTTCACACTTGAGTTAGACGATAATACAGTATCTTAGAGTAAAGACGATTTAGGGTTTAGGGGTTGAATAGAATAATCCGGGCATTGTATGTTCCATGACAGTTTTTATTTTTTCTGCCTTTTTCCGAAGGCTGATAATTATTCATAACTGTTAACTTGACATCAAAGAAGAGTTCAACTCAGTGCTTTATTTCTGTCCTAGTTTGCATCCACTCTCAAACCTAAGGGCGAAAGTCCTACACTCTGGGGATCTACATTGACAACTACTCCTTAACTACATTTTCCACCCCATTCATGTATTAACCCAACCCTGGCACACCAGTTATGCAGTTCAACAATGTTGCAATGAAACTTCAATTCATTGTTAAATACTAACCAAATCCAGCCTTTCTTGTTACTGACCTATCACTTTTATTGCACAAAATGTGGTAATAAAAGCACAAACCCTACCATAGTAGGGTCTTCCCAACGCAGTGAACACAAATTGTACGAGACAATGTGCAGATTGAATACACATAACTCAAAGCCAACCATACTTGTTGGAGTCGGAGAGGATCAACACGTACTTTAACCTTCTTACCTCAATGACATAGCCCAACCTATGAAATAGGTGTGTACCAGATAACTTAAAAGTTGGGTGGCGGATGTACCTTCAGTTAGTTACTTGATGTACAGGATAAATTTTTCAATGTGCCGAGAATACGATCCATAAATTTTTCAATGTGCCGAGAATACAACCCGCTACACCAAGTGTCTAATACAATTGGTTGAAATATTTTTTCTTTCAAGTTTCCAACGACACATACTTCGACAAAACCAACACCTGGAGCAAATTTGCCCACGGCCTTGACTCAGGATATGACCCAGCTGAGCCTACATTCTATGATGATCCAAACTTCAGCTACTTGATTGGGCAACCTGTGGAAGACTGGGATGAGAAGCGCAAGAAGTGGCTGCTGCATCACCCTTCTTTCTCCGCTAGTGTACGTGATCGGGTTCTTCTTGTGAAGGGGTCTCAGAGCATAGCAAGCAGTAACCCAGTTGGTGATCATTTGCTGCTTCGGTTTTTCAAGAACAAAGTAGACCATTGCTGACCCCACGGCTATGAAATCTTCTACAACAATCTGGCGTTCCATTCAAAAGTGACTGGCGCCTGGGCCTAATTACCAACTCTCCGTGCTGCCATGCCGGCTCATCCTGAGGTGGAGTGTATGTGGTGGGTGGTCTCAGATGCGATTGTCATAGACATGGACTTCAAGCTCCCACTAGAGAGATACAATGACCACAACCTAGTTGTGCATGGGTGGTGGCATGAGATATACGACAAGCAGCTGGACGAGTATCAACACCGGAGTGTTCCTGATACGCAACTGCCAGTGGTCCATGAACCTCATAGAGGCATGGATCACCATGGGGCCACAGACCCCAGACTACGAAAGATGGGCGTAGATGCAAAATTCATTGATCAAAGGCAAGCAAATTTCAAATTCAGACGATCAATAGGGTCTGATTTATCTTCTAATAACACAGCAAGAAGGATGGGCAAACAAGACTTACGTGGAAGGTGATTACTACCAACACGGATACTGGTTAATAGTGGATGGTCTTGACACCATTACCAAACGATACATAGAGATTGAAAGAGAGGTGGACATGTTAAGGAGGAGACACGCGGAGAAAGTGAGCCAGTTCTATGGAACTATGAGAGACCAACATGTGAAGGATAAGGGATACTGGGAAGATGATCTCAGAAGGCCTTTTACCACGCACTTCACCAGGTGTCAACCATGCAACGGGCAACACAGCTCCGCCTACACTTGGGAAGCTTGTTGGAATGGGATGCAGAGGGGCCTTTAAATTTTGCAGATAATCAAGTGCTTAGAAGATTTGCCTTTGTGCATCCAGACCTGCTCAACTCCTCATTTGTGTCTCCCCTGCCATTTGATTTACCGGCAGCTGACTGATTGTTTGCCCATTCTGCAATTTGTACTCTTGCCATACTTTCAAGTTAGTACGGCATCAGGCCAGGTTCAGTCCTACTTCTTCCTCTTTCCTATATTTTCTTCCTTCCTTCACTCCTGTCATAATGGTGAAGACTTCCCTTCCCAGAGTTTTTCCATTCCATTAGGATCAATCTGTACGCCATCTGTTTTCCATTCCCCACCCTGACTATGAAGCACAGATATGGGAGATTTGGGAGCACGGGGGATATGGGAGCGTCAAAAATCAAAGAACTTTATCAAACTGGATCTAATGCTTTAAATGAAAGCATGACCCCAAGCCAACCAGGCTCCTCGCTTTGTGACGGTCAGGGGAGAAATGTCTACCGTACGCAACTATACCCTTGCTTTGCAAAGAGGCTGTTTGCACGGCAAACCCCTGGCCTTTTGGTGACAAAGGAGTTGACTTTCCATTGCGCCAAGGCTTGCCCTCCTTTAAAAGCATAAAACAATTAAAATCAATGTTACAAAAGAATTATCAAAGCTCTTTCGCTATATCAACTGATGAAAAACTGAGTGAATTAACCTATTCATTTTCTCACAAACAAAATTAGAGTTTGTCATCTTAATAGCAGAGTAACTCTGTGACCTGTGTCAACATTAATGTGAGGATTACCATTGATTTCAAAGTAACTTGGCTTGGAATTATGAAGACCCTCGTTTTTCAATCATGAAGACAGTGAACCCGGGATTTATGTGGGATAACTAGAGATATGGATAAATTGTCAACATTGTTTACCAATTTTAACAGTGATTTGTGTTTAAAATAATTAGCTTTAAAATAATTAGCTTGTTCTAGTTTATTTTAAACTAAGTAATTGAATATGTATTTTAATGCGTCTATCTATATTATCAGTACAAGAATATAGAAAACAAAATGACCAAGACAATTTTCATTTTCAAAACCTCCAAAATCTACATTTCAATAAAAATCACCTAATAAATCAGTTCTAAAACAGTGTTATTGAGATTGTGAGCTTCAACCTGCCAAGAAATGATGTATCTGATTCCGGAGAGCTGCAATCCTACTCGAGCTATGCTAATTTCACTTCAAGAGCAATGATGACACCTGCAGGAAAGAGAGCTCTAATGACAATGTATCACATGCACACTGTGCATACAATATTGCTGAAAAGCTGGACGGTTACAAAGCAGAATTTTATCAAACCAAATCTGATTTTATAATGAGGCAAAAGATTGAAAAACTAACACCAGATAGTTGACAATGAGTGTAATGACAAGTAAAATCAATGCTATAAGAGAATTAGAAATCTCAACAACGATCTTCGTCATATCATTAACTGATGAAAACTAAATGCCTTAACCTTTTCAATTTCAACTACAAAATTGAGTTTGTCATCAAAGTAGTGGGACTCTGTCAGCACCAAAGTGAGGATCACAATTTGACTCAAGCTAAGCTAATTTCACTTCAAAAGCAATGATAATGCCTGCATGAAAGGAAGGTGGAAGATCATTATTGTTTCTCATAACTGTTCTCCAGTAATTATCTGTTTTGCATGAGAGAGAAAATACTGAACTTAGAAGAGCGACCGGAAAATAATCACGGCTGAATGGTGAAGTTCCTACTACGGAGATCCATCCTCTACAGCCATGCTTCTTCCCTAGTGCAAAGGAACAACCTCTGTGTTGTAGACGGTAGACTGTTAATTTTAGGCATTTTGTCAACTCTGCTAACCTGCTTGAGATATATGCATTAGTAACAGAGAAATGTGGAGGAGTGAACATGCTAGGTGACATGCTGACATTATGAAACACAAAGCAATACATTTGAAGGATTAAAAATACAGTTTTACTTTGACCCTAATTTGGCGCTGACAAAAGAAAGAAATATCTACAAATGCCTTATCTACAGCTGTTCTCTCACTATCCCCATCCCCGTCCCCACCACCCCTCCCCACATATGAACATACAAAACAAAGAACAAGAAAATTGTACTACTCAAGCAGCCAATCCCTTATGTCAAAAAGAGACCATGCCCTTACTTTAAAATCTACAAAATCTTTTCTGAAAAGAGAGCATAAGAAAATTGGCAGAATTAGCATTTGGTTGCACAACAAACTCTCCAAAAGTAGTCTATTTCACATTTTCATATCTTTTCAATCATCTACGTAGAAATAAAATCAACATTGATTACCACCCTGTTGAGAGAGATGAACAGAGGCTGCACGAATCATCTCAACCAGCATTTCATCAAGTGCGTCGAGTTCACCAGAATCACACAGTTGGCGATATAAAGGGGCTGCATAAGTTGCTGCAACTTCGGCCAACTTCCACAGAGAAAAATTGGCAGCAATTTGTAGTATCTTAATAGACAACTCTTTGGCAGAACTGAGAGTTGATATGATCACATCGAAGCATGCTGTCTGAATATCTTCCATGAGCCAGAACTCAGAAAGCCAACAGAGCTCTACATATGGCTGCAGCTCATGTAACTTTTCTTCGGTGTCCATATTATTCCATAAACATCCAGAGGGAGGCTTTGGCAGCTTACCACAATAGAAGCAGTTGACTAGTTTAACCATTGCTTCCCAACTAATAGAGCTCTTTATGGTTTGTGAATGGCTGCAAGTGTTAAAAAAACATTTAAGGGAGAGTATCATTCTGATATATTGCAACAAGTATGCAAAACAAAATCCGGTAAAAAGAAAGGATATGTTATACTTTTGATAGAAGTGATTGAATAAACTAGCATCCAAAATGCCAAATTTTTCAAAGTAAATCAATGATAATTGCAGTTCAGATGTGAAACTAATTTATAAAGAATCCAAAACCTAGGCATCACCTTTGCACCATCCCACACAAACCCTGACAGAAGGTACAAAGGAAAAACAAGCACCGCCACTGATGTTGTTGCACTTAAATACTCAGATATGCAAACGCAAAAGAAGGCCAATGTCTCCCATAAGAAGAGTAAACAGTAGCCACAGAATCTGGTTAGCATCATACCTCTCATCTTCAAACTATTTGCTTTAACAAAGATAACAAATCATTTTTTACTATTTCCTATTGACTACCTTTCCTTCCTTGAGAAAAAGGTAACAGGATAAGCCTGACAATCTATAAACAGTTTCAATGAAAAGATGGTTAATAGCATGCTATCTAACAACATTTAAAATTGTTTGAAACAATGGAAGTTCATTAAAGATGTGTATACCAATATGAACAATTTGACATGCAACAACAATTATAATACCACCGCATTTTTATTACAAGAGCATCACATCCCAAAAAAGATGACAATAACCGCTGGAAATCACTTTTACCATAAGCCAATTTGAGGAACCACTTTTCAAAACCTCTTCATACAAGTTAACGAGATAAATTTTGCAGTACATTAAACTGTATAGTTTATTGCTTTCAATAAGAGGATGTGTGTATATGTGTGCTTTATATATGGAAAGAGAATTGCAAGCACCTCTCTTGCATTCCTGACTGTAACAAGGCCCGCAAATAATCACAACTTGATGACAAAATAACTTTGTGAACGTGCATATGTGGCACCGAGCGAAAGCAAATACCACATGTCCAGCCCAAAAGCTCAGTTGTCTTAGCTTCTAAGATGACATCTCTGAAACCAAAACCAAACAAATATTACTAACATGAATCGGTACATTTGGAAAACCAACCAGAAGCATGAAGTTGGAATGCAAAATAAGTGAACTACTAAAAACTCGTTTATAATCCAGTCAATCATAATATACATGAAAATCCTCAACCCAATAAGAGAACCTTTAGACAGGACTTGGAAAAATAATGCCGATGTTGGGTAATCTAAAACCATTCAAAATACTCTACAGATCGCTTACTAATTCCTTGTATATATGTATAAAAACACATGTACATTTTCTTTCTGTTTTTCAGAGTAAGGGTGAGAGGAGAAAGACAACTGAGTTAAGAAGGAAAAGAGTGAGAGCAGATAACAATTATATGATTGCAACTAAATACCATTTCAAACAGTTTCAAAGTTGATTAGAAAACCACTATCTATATTCTTCCCCCCTTCTCACTGACATCTCTCATCTCCTTCTCCCCTCTCCCAACACAAAAACCAACTTTACCATACAGGCCATTAGCTTCTTAGAATGTGTATCGAGAGTCTGTAGTGATATTTCAATCAATAATTATGCATACACAATAGAGCACCTTAAATGTTTTACTGGCTTGACTACACAGTTTCCCCTGTATTGTCAAACCAAGACAGCCTTATATTCAGAGAACAACATCTAGAGATTCCTATATGAACCACAGTAAATGCACTCTTTCTAATGGAGAAACAAACGTGAAACATAGAACTACATATACAAAGGGGTTAAAAACAATTGTTATGTGAGTGTGATGCAGCAAAACACAGATATTAAAGTAGGAAGCCATACGAGAAACGACACCCAGACAGACGAAGAGCTGCACTAAGATCAAGGCTGGGGTGAGCAGAGCCCCACTTGGGACGTTTCCTATAAAGCATCTGTAACAAAGACTGTAGATTACAACGTTTGGCAAGAGTCCTCAACTTCTTTACAAGTTCTTGTCCTGCTTGTAGATATCCCAAATAGATATACTCCAACAACATAACCAACGCTTGGTGATCAACATGAACAGATAACCTTATGTCTTTACAGAACTTTTTACAGATTTCCATAGAGCATGTCACTGAAGATTCATCACATGTTACCTCGCTGGGAAACAGCACTTCAGAAGGCAACAATGATGGACATTGAGTTGCAAGCACAACACCATGGACCCTCAAACACTCTCCATTTGCAAGAATGAGTTGTATGTCAGCATAATCCTTCTCAGTAAGTGCCTTGCCAATCTTTTTCCCAAGTTTACTTGGAAAACCATAATATCCAAAATAACTAAGAACATATGCAGCATACCATTGCACTCCAGGAGTACGACTGTTGTTACAGATATCCTGAAGTTCACTAACAAGTTGAGCTTCTATTGGTCTCATCTCACCAGAAGTTTGGTCTAGGTTATTTCCTAAGCATCCCCAATGCTGTATCCACTCAGCCAGCCCCCACAAACTGTAAAACAAAAGAATGTCTTTGCCTTCCCAGTCTTCTGCAGAAACCCAACAGCAAATCCTCTCATGGAATGGATTATGCAGATGAGGAGCAAAGCTTGATCTTTCTAAATGGAAATTATTAGTTAAGCACCACCTTATAAAAGCCAATAATGTTTTTACACATTTTTTACCTGAGACTTGGTACTGTGGCAAAGCTGAATAGCATGCTAATCCCATTAAATAAACAATAATTTGGAGTTTATCTGGAACTCCAAAATAATTCCCAGATGACAAATTATTTAGGAAACCCAGTAAGGTTTTCAAATACTCCCCTCCATCTAGTCCTAGTATTTCGGACAATATGAATCTGGTCTTCGACGCAATGTATTTACAGGGTGAATAAATCATCATTGAAACTGCCCTTGTAGCCGATTCACGTCTGAAGGCACCAGCAATATCATTTTCATATATTTTATGCCACTTTTGAATTGCATCAACAAAGGTCAAACTATCAGAGAATACAGACAATGCAAAATTAGAAAATTAACAACCATATATAAGACATTAACTAAAATGGTACCTGCAGGATCACAAATTCTTTTTAATTAAAAGTATGGAAAATGAGTAGGGTTTTTTTCAGGATGAGCCTTACCAAGCACATGTGATGAGGATGTTAATATAGATTTCCCTTTCAGGGTTGAAATCCTCCCCACAATGTATTGCAAGCCATCCAAGAATATCCCAGATATAACTCCTCAGAACAAGAAGATAATTGGCATTGAGACCCTCCTTGGCAATAACCATTTGCTCATCCAATGACATGGAACATTTGTATGGTTGGTTGTGAAAATTTTCAAGGAGAAGATCAAGAAGGATTTTGTCAATCCCTTGTTTCCACATATAAATGTGATGCTCCCCTTCCCAACGAGTTATCAGAGCCAAGCGACATGCCTCCTCTAGCAAAGACATCTGGTCATTGCTGACCTTTCTAGAATGTGAGTTCCACTCACTCATTCCAGAAATTATGGCTTTGATGATAGGTTTGTAACCTAAGCTCATCATTAGTAAGCATATTTCTTCATTTATCTGAAACAAAAACCGTTGAAAGACAACAGAGTTAAAAAATAGTTATGACCCTTTAACTATTGCAACAGGATATCTTATAAGGAGACCAAGATAGAACTAACACCACTAGGCACTGGGCTAACTTGAATCCTTCAATGCGAATTGAGTGTGGATGAGAGTTGTCCATGCATTGCACCATCTGTTCGAGGATCTCTCCACTTTCCAATACTTTTTTGGCCCCAATACCACATAAAGCTGAAAAAAGTAACAGAAGCTTAATCCAAACAGTCAAGAATATAAGCTAATAAATAAAATTTAAACATAAAATTAACTTTTCATGATTAAAAGTTTAATACCTAAAGAAGAATACAACTTCAAAACTGCAACTTTTTCATCAATATCTAGCTTTAACATTTCATTTAAGCCATTCATCAGTTTAGTATCACTCCAAACAGAAAACCTGGATGACGGCCACCACCATAGTATTGTGCTCAAAAGTAAAGCCATCTGTTGGAAATATTTCAGTGTCTTTGTACATCCAGGAAAAAACCGTAAATTACTGACAACTTGAGATACACTTTCTGTTTTCCTAAGAATTTCCCAAACGTCTTTCTCACTCTTGGTACTGAGGTTTGAAAGAATAAGATTCAATGCTGTTGCAGATAAAATAGCTACTTCTGTTTGGTGCGAAGATAACAAAGATGACAAAGGATTAACAAGCTCTAACACATAAAGCTGCAGTACTGATTTGGGGAAAATACTGACTAATTTTACTGTCACATCCGCTGCCATCCTCAACATGGATCCATTGTCAGATTGAAGCATCCAAACCAATGCGCCAACAATGTCAACAACTGAAGCCTGAAAATCGATGGAAACAATGATGAGAATATGTATAAGTGCAATCAGATACAGCTCAAAACTGATACAAATTACGATGTGGCTCTATAGAATTTTAGAAACATAATGTATCCTCCAAAAACTTGGAAAGGAAACAGAATTTTCAAGAGATGGCGCACCAGTCACCACCAATACAGTGCCTTCCACTCAACTTGTTTTCCCCAAAATTTTCTTACCAAGGTTTCGATATTCCATCTCTAACAATGCGATACAAATAAAATTGATGATCAAACTAAATACAACAGCCAGCATGAACTGAACAAATAACAGACTAAATCGTTTGCTCCTCTAAAAAGATGGATATTGTTATACCTTCACATGTGGATGGTGCCGCGTATCCCCAGAAACAGAATCGAGAAATGCAGCTATTGAGTGGAGCACATGTCTTTGTATCTCGATATCGACACACTGCCATTTTTTCACCTTGTCGTGATTAATTCTGCAAGACACAAGCCAGGTCAGGAAGAACATTCTACTGTTTAGTCAATTAGCTATAACAATCAACACATTAACTATGTAATTCCCCGATCAACAAGATTTTACGCTTTCGACTCAAATGCCTCACATCCAAATTAAAACAAAATATTAAATTTCTGGGCTCTCCTAGTTTATGAGCTCTTGTCTTGTGCATGCTTCCCTTCCCTAATTGTTAGTTGGAAGCTGCAAGTGGGTTTTTTAAGGGGCAAATTCTACCAATGATTCCTAACACTTGAAATCAAAATCCAAAATCCAAAATCCAAATCAAGAAATGGTTGAACTTCCATACAAAACCCTAGAGAGAGAAAACTTTGAAGGATAGGAGACTGACCTGGTGCCGAGGTTCAGAGCATGATTGAGACGCTGATGGAGGGTGCAGGTGTGACCGGTGAGGCCCTTATTACTATTGTCTGCAGTTCCCTGCTTTGAAATTGAAGGTCTCATCTTTCCTTCCTCTCTGAGTGCTGGCTCTTCGTCTACCTCAAATTTCAGATAAAGCTAGCTTTGGTTTGATGATGCCCAATTGGAATTTGGATCCTCAAATGTTTCTGGAATTGCCGCTACCGCCATGGCCAGAAACCTTCCTCTTTCCCTTTTTTTTTTTTTTTTTTGTTTTTACCCAATTAAAAATCCGTTATCATTGTTCTCAACCTATCCAAACGTGCAACTATCATCCTTTAACTAAAAATTCATTATTATTAATCCCTTAATTTTAATCAAACCAAAGAAATTATTCTCTAATTTTAACTCAATTGAATCAATAGTTTCTCAACTTTAATCCAATTGTAATAATCGTCATTCCAACATAATTCATTTTGACAATATTACGATGAAGTTGACAAAAATAACTATAGATACATGTTTTGATAAGTTAAATGATCCCAATTGTAGCAATGATCATTCTAACATAACTTATTTTGACAAAATTCTAACGAAGTTGACGAAAATGATCGTAGTTACATATTTTAATGGGTTGAAGGACCAATGATAATGAATTTTTAGTTGAATGATCATTATCTAATTTAATTAAAGTTGAGAGATATTTTTGCAATTTACTTTTTTTTCTCCTTTGTCAAAATTAAGCGAGGTGGGCCTTGGGCCACTACTCCTCTAGTCGGCCCAAACTTATGGCTACTTTTTGTTTTTGTTTTTATTTCATTTTTTATATTATATTTTAAATGAAATGCATTTTGGTCCATTTCCATTTTGTTTCAGTTGTTTTAATTTTGTCAAATTGGTTATTGTTTTAATGATATATGACATAGGTTTAACCATGTTAGCCAGAAATTGTGTGCAATGTTGCACATTAAATTTGCATCGTCTCCTTTCTAGTTATCCTTTAAATGCCAACGTTGCAAAAAATTAATCAAATTTGAAATCTTTTAATCATCTGATGATGATCCAATAAATGGACAAATGATGATGCATATTATATTCATTTAAACACCATAATTTTAACAATGTTAATTAAACGCTTCTATGAATATGTTACTTAATATTCATATCGTCGATTTGAACAATTTGAATTATGAAACTTACATGTTGGATAACGTAAGTATTACATGTACTGCACTTACCATCATAAAATAAAACACGTTCTAGACATGCACTCGTAATATCAAGGTTAAGACGAAGCCAAACCAAGGCCAAAACATAGGTTAATCTGCAAGGGTCAAAACAAAATAGCCAGTCACTTGTATACCCAACAAGGCATATTGTAAAATAGAACTGTTCTCCGAATTCTTTTTCTTATTATGTAATTAAATTTTGTTAACTTTAACGAAAAACTTCCGGTACTATTTACTTTAACAAAAAACCACATTTTTACACTAAAAAGTCAATCATGGTACTATTCACTTTTACCCTTTATTTTGTCTTTATCGTTAAAACTCAAAGTTTTCAAATCATTTTAATTAATTTTTCCTTAAATTTTACTCATAACAACATTAACATTAACATGAATTAAAAAAAAATACACTGCTTGAAAATAATATCACGAAACATAAAGAAACAAAAAAAAAATACACCGTAAATAAATAAAATACACCAACCCAATTTTACGATCCATCACCAACTCCACAAACTTATCATTGGGATAAAAAAAACACCAATAAACCTCATCCATAATAAGGAAGTCCAACCATGGACGGAGTCACCATATGTCTACTGAGAGCAACTGCTCCCACTGAACTCTTTTTATTTCTACAAAACTGTAACTTAAATCTCAACTCAAAATACCCTCTCACGCTTTTGAGCTATGTAATTTTTCCATTAACTAATGATTTATAATTTTATCGTTCAAAACACCAGTTACTCAAAATCATGTTGTCCAATAAAATAATAACATTGTACCAAAATTATAATTTAATTTCCTCATTCGAAGTAGCCCTCACAAAAAAAAAAATTCTAGCTTCGTCCACGAGTTCAACCCATATTTTACGTCGTCAAATTGTCTCCAAAGTCTTGCGTCAGATTGTCTCCAAAGTATCAATATTGTGAAACGTTTTGTATTTTATTTACAAAATTTTATTTATATATGGTAGGAAAACAACTTCCTTCATGGTCTTTGTCAATGTTGGTTATAAAAAATTGTCCAAGATCTTTACCAAAATATTCATATCCAATCTTGGACAACTTCATCCTCTTCAGAATTTCATTTCTTTAGCCTTTTGTTTTTCTTTACTTTTAGTCCAAAATCATGCTCAGAAAGGGAAGTAAAAATTAAGAGCTTTCATGCTTTAAAAAAATTAAGAGCTTACAGCTTAAAACATAAAACAAACACAAAAGGGATGCAGAAAAATATGAGGAGAAAATAAAAGAAAAAAAAATTGGAATAAACATGCATCTATCTACTTAGTACTAAGAGCAGGAGGAGTTTTCTTGGGAAATTTAGCACTATCAGCAGGAGGAGTTTTCTTGGGAAATTTAGCACTATCAGCAGCAGATCCCGGGCCGCCTTCTCGTTTCGTAAGATCGGGTTTATGCTGCTGCATCTGGGATCGATCATTGCTAGAATCTTCATCACGAGGCTGAGCCTTGGGAATGTTACGAGCGCTGGAGAAGAGATCGACAGGCTCCGACTCGGCAATCTTGCCTCCTTCAAGAGGAGTCCCATGCTTGTACGCAGTCCTCACAGCTTCGTCTTCATCAAGCCTCGCCTGCGAAGTCGCATACTTTATGTCGTCCTTGCTCTTTGACATTCTTTCACTTCTCTCTATCTAGGGCTCAGACTGAACCGCATGAGAAATGCATGAGTCGGTTCTGATGACCTGCTTTCATTTATAAGCGTGTTTTGTATCAGTACGTGGCAGATTGGCTTAAGATGAGTGTGACAGCTATACAATTCAACTTAACACGTGGTGTTTTTGTTTCCGCGAAGAATTTTTACGACACGAGTATACTATTAGTATTGCGTTTGTGCAGACAATGTTATACTATTATAAGTAAGTTTTTCTTGACATAACATTGTATTATTGAATTAGATATAATATAATAAGTAAGTTTTTCTTCATATAACATTGTATTATTGATTCAGAACTCTATTGTGTACTAAGTCAATGTACCATGGAAGTTCTTGTTTGCTCTTTCCATTTGACATAGTGATGTGGCGCCCGACGTATTTACTTATGAGAAATGAAAATTTGAGTTATTTTGATTTTTGGTAAGTGTTATAATCTAAGTGAACACCTTTTTTCTTACTCTTTATTTTTTTGATATTATGGTGACTAATTCAAACAGACAAGACTAAAGACGGTGAGAATTTAAACTTTGAAAGCAAGTATTCATAAATGGATTTAAACTAAAATATTACTAGCCTAAAAGAAACAAAACAGAGTGACTATTTATCGTCCAAATTCTTCTCTCCTTTTTTGCTCTCCTATGAACGGTTACAGCTCACGATTAAATTGTTAATATTTTGTATTGACTTGTTTATTAAGAAAAAAGAAAAAATAAAAAGGGAAAGACACAGAAGAAAGTGAGACAGAAGGGAAGGAAACGAAGGAAATTTAAAAGGGAGAATGATTGAGGATTCTCTCTGGATCCTCTTTGTGAGAATCTCAAGAATTCGTGAATCATATTCGTTTATTGTACATCGTACGATCAGAAATTATTTTTAATTTTTTTTATTTAAAATTGAAATAAACAATACCTGATAAAAACTGATCGCAAGATGTACAGACACAATTCACAGTTGAGGATCCAGATTCGAAAGAATCATGCTTGAAAAATGCACCACCACCTTTGAAACCCTTATCTCTCACGAACGGCCGAGTTCGACCTCACTTTCCTCAAAGACCAAATCTCTGTCACTAATTACTATGTTTAGTTAGCGATAACATTATTACATGGACTTAGTTATGTGTAAAGATCAAATCTTCATCTTTAATTACTGTCTAATTAGTGACAACATTACTACGTGGGCTTAATTCTGTGTTGTGTGCGTTCATTTGTAAGCTCTGTGTAATTTTAGGTCGCTTAAGATGATTAATTTTTGTTAGCTACAAGCAAACACAAAACGTCGACATATTTTAAGCCGTTAGATCAAAATCCAACTGTCACCAGTTACCAATTTTAAACATCCAACGATCAATTGTGCGACGAGGGTTCAAAATATCCTCATCAAACTCAGAATGCTCCTTCTCTTTCTTCTTGAAAGCAAAACTAAATTCAAATCGAGAAGACGTCGAGAAGCATATGCTAACCCCCGTCTTCTCGATTCTCACTCGGGTATCATTTGCTCGTTATCAGCATCGCCTTCTGTTTCAACTTGAGGCTTTGAAGGAGCTTTGGAACCAGGAGGCTGCTTCTTCTTAATCCCGCTCACAATGTCATCGATTCTGAGAAGTAGGCAAGCGGATTCTATGGCTGTTTTAAAGGTCTGAGCCTTCACGTTGTACGCATCCCAGATCTGACATGTTAAAATTAAGCAATTAACAGCCTTACACACTAGAAATTTGATGTTCAAGACTTCGCGGATATGCTCAAATCGTAGCTAGTCACATTTATTTTAGTAATAAGCAGGGTTACAGCAGTTGCCCTCACATGGGCGCTGTCAAAATATGCACCAATCGCCCAACGAACTCGAATATTGTCAAAGTAAAAAGAGAAAGAAAAGAGCAACGTAATTATGGAACTAAAGGAGATCCACGCACCTTTTTCTCTTTCACGTCAGTTATTGCACCAGTGTTTCCGTCTATGCCAATCCATGCATTTTCACCATTCGCATGCTATGGAAAGAAATTGTAATTTAGATAAAAATAAAATGCATCAGAAGAGATACATAAATGATAGTAATACTAGAACAGAACAACGCCATACAGTAAAGATTCAAACCTTTCCCTGCAGCGCCGTCATAGTTCTAATCACATTAACACCACAATTCTGAGCCAAAGTTCGTGGTATAGCCTCAAAAGCTATAGCAGCAGCTTCATACGGCCACTGTTTTACCATCAAAACACAAATGTAAAGCCACAGCTAATTCTTAATCTCCAATATGTCAAAAGCATGTGAACTCAAGCAACAGAGGTTCTTAGTCTTAGTGTTCATCTTTCTATTTTCACGAGGAGTTCTCCAGATTCTTGGACCAGTTTACACAACAGATACAAAACTTTTAGATGAGGAAAAGTGCGCTTACCTTTTCGATACCATCTACAGATGAACTCTTTTGCTTCAATGTTGCAGATACAGTTAACTCTGTAGCACCACCACCAGGAACAAGTTTTGGATTTTTGAGGATGTTTCTTGCTACTGACATAGCATCCTACAACAAAGTAATGAATAAATAACAAATTTCACATATTATATTTACTTCCACGTAATGGGATAAAAAATATAACCATCATACCTGCAAATTTCTTTCCACTTCATTTAAGAGATCCTTACTAGGGCCTCTTAAGAGTATAGTACATGCTTTGGGATCTTTGCAATCAACAATGAATGCAAAAAACTCATCACCAATTTTCTTGACCTCAAATAGCCCAGCCCCTGTACCAACATCAGACTCTTGCAATTCATCTGGTCTGTTAACAATAACTGCCCCACAGGCCTTAGCAATTCGGTTATTGTCTGTTTTTCGCAACCTCCTGATTGCACTGACGCCAGCCTTGCTTAGGTAATGGCATGCCAAGTCACTAAGCCCCTTTTCTGTAATAACCACATCTGGCTTAAACTTCAATATCTGCACGCAGAGGCTCTCGATGTATTCTTCTTCCAATTTTAGTAGGACTCCCCAATCTTCTTCTTTAAGTAACTCAGCATTTGTTTGGTTCTCGCCCTTCTTATACTCAAGAGGACAATCAAGAAGAATGATCCTTGGGTTAACAATCTTTCTTCTCATTTTTCCAGGTGCGATAACATCTTTGTTAAACATTACTCCTTTCAGAACCATTGAATCTTCCAACTGGCCACCAGGAACCTTCTCAACCTTAATGTACTTTTTGATATCCACTTCTCGCAGACCCTGGCCAAGGTCCACCCCGACTATTGTGGTGGCATCAAGCGCTAAATCCTACAAGAACACAACCCAATTTATGGTCAGTCATGACTCATGAGTGAGTTCATAGTAATTTGTCACTAGAATGATAGAATCAGATCTGAAGAGCGAATATCAATAGTCCAAGTAATTGATTCTCATTGCAAGGCGGCTCATTCAAATGCAAGACATAATACATAACCAATAACATTGAAAACTATGAAATCAATGCAGTAATTTTCCACTTAGAGACGCAAAGTAATACGTTCGTATAGAGTTAACTTGCAGGCAAGAGGCCACAGCATATCTATCAAATATTCTAACGTGATAGACAAAGTTAGTTTATCTTAATTGTATAATAAATAAAGGAAAAAAATACAAACGTCTGGAGTCAAGAATAAAAGTTAGAAATCCATGGTTAAACCTCACTTTTAGTTTAAATATGATGTTCATCTCTCTGAACTACAAAGCTAAAGCTAATAAGTATCGACTCTTTTTTGAAAATATTTTCCTTGACAAAATCTTAAATTTTTCTCAGTATATCCTTCATAGGCCACTTTACCTAGATGAAGAATCATAACACCTGGAAACCAATAAACAAGAAGAAATAACTAAATGCAAAACCTTTATTTAAACAGTGCTTACAGCAATTAAATCCCCAAACTGACTAGTGAACTTTGTACCGATACAACTCTTGACCAGCCCCAACATTGTTGCACCTGCCATGGAAACCATACATAAGTAACATGCCAAAATTGCTAGCTTAGCATTTCAAATAATTGTTAATCAAGGTAAATTATTATCACACAGGATATTCAATCACTGACAGGTTTGCAATCATAACAATGAGTGTTATCATCGGCAAGAGCTGCCACTGAAAATTCTACCATTCCCGACCAATTATGCTGTTTTGATTCCTTAACACACTCACAATATGAATTCCTAATTCAATCTAAGTGAAACTAACATAAAAGAGATGAAATAAAGGTTACAGCCACAATTGCTAAACGAAAATTAAGCTATGCCTATTCCCCAATTTTTCCTAAGCAAAATCTGCGGCTGCAACATGAATCCCACGAACCTGATTGAGCACAAGGAATAGTGCCCTGAGTTTATTTCTATGTTTCAGTCTTATGCATGCCGTTACATTCTCACAAAAGTTAGATTAAATGAGAGCAAGAGACCCAATACAAAAATAATCGGAATATAATTTGATGATGTAGAAAGAAACCAAAGGAACTTACGATCCTTCACATCAATGTCCATTGCTATTTTGTCAAGAACAGCAATAGCATCCTCCAGCGCTTTGTTGTAGGCTACAACGAAAAAACAGAAAATTTAAAAAACATCGAAACAAAATAATTAGAAAAAGAATAAATCGTAAACCAAAATCAAATCCAAAACTTTACATGAAAGAAAAATCAGAAGGAAATATGTTATCGTTATTTCTTTCAACTTACCTCGGCAAATAACAGTTGGATGATAGTGCTTGTCAATAAATGCTTCTGCAACATGGAGCATCTCACCAGCTACACCAGATTTCATTCCAAATGTAAGACATAGAGCAAAGTTCATGTACACATATACTACTGTTGTAACCTGTTCAGTAAATAGAAAAGTACACAATCTTCCTCAAGCTTACTAAATTCCATGATATATATTATTATCAAGTTAATCCCGTCATCTTTGTATAAATTACTTATATACCATGCAATGTAGAGCACAAAATAGATTTAACAAACATAATAGGGATTTTAGCATTAAGCCTCCAAATACAACATTTGTTAGCAATAAATACCTACTTTAATTCTACTTATTTTTTAAGTCATCAACTTCCGTTGTTGTATAGCTTTAAGTCCTCAATATGCTGGACCATTTTAGCAATCAGCCCACATTTTTTTTGTTGACTTGACCTCAATTTTGGCCCTAAAATTTATCAATAAGCCCATTAAAGGCTAAGAAAACAAGAATTTGTAAGGTTTTCTCTAAAACTTGAAGTTATAGGGTTTTTACAGGGAGAAATGCTAGCAATCTTTGCACTTGAACCTTTTCACTTCTTCACTTGACACGTGTCATTTTTTACATAAAAGCAAGACATTTGATGCCCTTGAAATTATATTTTCTATTTTTCATTATTAATTCCTAGCCAAAAGCATTAAGGTCTTTTTTTGTGTAAAAAAATGACACGTGTCATTTGAAGAAGTGAAAAGGTCCAAATGCAAAGGTTAGTGCACAGGTTGCTAGCACTCCCCTTTTACTAGTCACCCCTATTTATTAATTGAAGACAATTTATTTTGCTCCATAAAAAGATTGAACAATAATATATGCCAATAAGTCACAAGTATATATTACATCCTTAAATGAACTTTGAGTTGCATGTAGGTAAATAATGCTAAAACCATACCAAGGACAATGACAGATGTTGTTCCATCGCCTACTTCTTCATCTTGTGTGCGACTTAATTCAATCATTGACTATCACCAAAAATTTCAAAAGAGCAAAGGTAAGAATGACAAAGAAAATGAGAGGGAGGAGAGGGGGTTCATATAAAAGTAAAGGATCGACAAGAAAGAAAATGCAAAACTAGATAGGGAACAGAAGTTTTTGAACCAAAAAGATTAAACAAAAATAAAATCCAGAAAGGAACAATTTGAGACAAATATCATGCCTTTGCTGCTGGGTGAGCAAGATCCAATTCACGCAGAATGGCATTTCCATCATTAGTCACTACAATTCCTGTCAGAAACAAGGGTAACATGTTAGTGTATTGCAAACTCATCAAGACCCAAACGAAAGCCATGGGGATAATAGATGCATGAAATAGTTACATCACCCGTAACATCAATCTAAACTTTACTTAATTGCAAATAGAAATGTAAAAGAACTTCTTTGATTCAAAATAATTTAATCACATGAACAAACATGCCGCCACGTAAAATAAGGGTTTACTGCGTTGTAAAAACTGAGGGAAAATAAATCATTATATTCAATTTCAACAAAAATACAGAAACAACGATAAAACTTATCAGACCGCGAGAAAAGAATTACCTCCACTAGCGTCAAGTAGCATCTTGAGCATGGACCGAGGACCCAAGGTTGTCCGGATTATGTCAGCAACGGCCTGTAATTATCAAAATGCTTAACATTTGTACGTTCATGAGACTCGAAGTGCTAATAGTCTGACAAGTATCCACAGTGGAAGCATAATAATATCCTCTTGAAAAGAAAATACCATTGACAACTGAGACCCTAAATGCTTAGAATTCTTTTGTAAGAAAATACTAAACATTTCACAGTTAGAAGGTTAACACTCCTGGCAACTCATCCAGAAATTAATACATTCGAAACAAATACTAAAACATACATTTTCAGATGAATTTCAATTCAATTCAGTTTTCGCTAACCTTGTTCACAAAACCCAAACTTACAACAGCATCTTATTTTGTAAGTCATTCACCAAATACTGAGCTAGATTGACCAAAACAAGCCCAACATACCACATCACGTGAAAAAAAAACCTTATTTATAGACTTTTTCAAATTTATATACTTGATTGACATACGAAAGTAAACACCATCAACAAAATTAGATTCAAATAAACATCTCTCCAAGACTTGATCACTTAAAACCATTATTTTCCCTTAAACGAACAAAACTATTTAGGATACATTTCAATCCAAAATAATATTTTTAGATTCGTAAACCCAAATGCCCTTAATCTCACCTTCGATGCCTGGATATTTCCATGGTGTACTTTAGTCCCCGACTCACGCTTCAATGAATCTTCTGCTCAGATAAGTTCAAAACAGCAAAAATAAGCAAATGGGTTTTCAAAGGAACACAAATCATAACAAATAAAAAAAAAAAAAGGCAGAAAACGAGGTTTTCAGAAACCCAAATGAAAGATCAACTCAAAAACCTAAACTTCAAAGCAACCGCAAGTTAAGGGGGAAAAGGAAAGAAGGGAAGAGAGCTTACTGAGGACGAGCACTGGGGCTTGCATGTTGATGGCGAGATCTGTGTGAAACTGTGGAGTGTGTGGAGGAAGGAAGAAGAAGGAGAAGAAGAGAAGAAAAGAGAACAGAAGTCCGGAGAGGGTTTTATGCGAGGGAAACGCCGAAAGTGAGATTTTAGCGAAACCCTGGTAGTGCGAAATAGGTCTGCAAAATGGGACGGAGCGACCCGGTTGATCCGAGCCGATGCTCAATTGGGCTTTAAAAGTCTTTCTAAATTTCAGGCTGAATTATGTTGGCCCAAAACGGATTTTTTTTTTTTTTTTATGGCTAATAGAAAACGAACACTAGTTAGTTTGCTACTAAAGTTGAGTAGGAATTCTTAATTGAAAAGTTTTAGCCGATTCACATAACTTTGTATTTATGATCAAAATCGGTTTTAATTGTAAATCCCTATAAAGATCATTGATCTCATATTTGGACAAGCGTTGCCTATCTCATGTAGATGTCATCTATTAGGTAATACCTCATATTGTACTGACGCCCGTTGATGTAGTAATCCAGTTGAGGTGATTTACCTCCGTCAGGTTAGTAAAGAGGGGTGAACGCCCGAGTATTGTAATATCATTTTGGGATCATGAGACTCTAAATAAAGCATGTCATATTCATGTGTCAAACGAGGCAATCGCCTCTAACACAGTAGTTGGCTTTCTCGATCTTCTGCTAAATCCTCCTTGCCTTCCGGTAGGACAGTTCTTCTACTGTCAATACATGCAATCTAATGACCCTATCATGCCCTAAAAGCTACGTTCTTCAACTTTGCGAAGGACCCGAGCAAAATTTGCTTGATTTGGTTCATAGAGGAACTCTTATTTGCGTGTATTGCCTGAAATGTGAAGGGTTGAACTAGCTAATAGAACGTAGATAAATTCTGGGATTCATAACAATCCTATTTTTTTCTTTTAATAAGTAAAGGGAAGATTCGAACTTAACAGGGATCATGGTACATAAATGAAACCTGAGCTTCGGTTAATTCACATATAGCGTCTCCTTTTAAATACTAGTGAAAACCCCAGAGCAACTTATTGGGTGTAACTCAAACTAAGATGAAGCAGCACAAACATACTTCGTGTGGTTTCCGGGTCATTTCGATTTTATATTCTTCTATTTGACTATTAAATAATTAGTGGACGATGCTTCGTGGAAATGAGGGATATAGTGCACAACCATTGACGGCTAGCTTGTGTACTTGTATTTCTTGGTCAACATTCAACCCGAGAACTATCTCTATATATATTCAACCCGAGGAACTTTCCGAGCTTTGCTAATATTTCTTAAGAGATTAGCTCAGTTGAAGATTCAGATACAATGAATTAATAACTGAATAAAGTTGACTTTTCCTGCATAGGAGCAGTTGTTGTGAGGTGAATCTGGGTCTTTAAATGGAGGGTTCTTAAATTTGTGATGAAATTAAATGGGGAGCAAGATCATGGCTTCTGACGTGAAGGTCGAAGTCGTTCACAAGGAAACAATTCGTCCATCCTGTTCAACTCCTCCGCACCTCAAAACTACCAATAACCTCTCATTTTTTGATCAGCTTGTTCCTCCAATTCATATCCCACTGCTTCTCTTCTACCCCATCTGCAACAGCGGTGATGATTTTGAGGTCAATGATATCAATCACCGATCTTTGGTTGCGGAAAGATCCAAGCTTCTAAAGACATCTTTATCTGAAGCCCTCACTCTCTTCTATCCCTTTGCAGGAAGTTTCCAGTTTAATGATTCAATCTGTTGCAATGACCAGGGGGCTGTGTTTCTTGAAGCCCAAGTCAACTGTCCCATGTCAAAGATTTTTGACAAACCAGATCTTGGAATGCTAGGGCAATTGCTTCCAAATGATCATACAAGTCATCTTCTACAAGTCCAGGCCAATTTCTTCGAATGCGGTGGATTGGCAATCGGAGTCAATATTTCGCATAAGGTGGCGGATGTTTCCACACTCAGTAAATTCATTAATCGCTGGGCTGCAATTGCACTCGGCTCGCCAAGAACTATTGATGTGGTGCCTCTCGTAGCATTTGGGGCTGCATCTTCTCTTTTCCCACCACTAGATTTCCTAAACTCACCGCCAGCGCCAACTCCAACTAGTGACATGAAATTTGATATTAAAGAAACGTGCACGACAAGGAGATTTGTGTTTGATGGCTCAAAGATTGCTGCTCTCAAGTCCGAAGCTGCCAGTGCCAGCGTGCCAAATCCAACACGAGTTGAAGTAGTGTCCGCACTCATTTGGAAATGTGCAAAGGAAGCGTCAAGATCGAAATTGGGTTCAGTAAGGCCCTCTTCATGGTGTCAAACAGTGAACATGAGGAAAGTACTTGCGCAGACCTTGGCAGATAAAGATTTGCTAGGGAATGTTGTGGGGTTGGTTACATCAAAGACGGAAGAATCTAGCAGTGAAGCACATGATCATGATCTTCGAAGCCTGGTTACTATACTGAGGAAGGGCATTGAGGAATTTAAAGAAAAATATAGAAATGGAGTTAGAGGGGAGGAATTCTGTCAACTTTTCATGGAGAATGTGAACCTCATTATGAAAAAGGATGATACAGACAGCTATAGTTCCACCAGTTGGTGCAGGTTTCCGCTATACGAATCCAATTTTGGTTGGGGAAAGCCATCATGGGTCTTCATTTCTAGTGTTGGTTCCAAGAATTCAACTGTCTTACTGGATGCAAGAGATGGCGATGGAATAGAAGGGTCCTTAACTTTCAACGAAGAAGACATGGCCATATTTGAAAGCAATGAGGAGCTGCTTGAATATGCATCTTTGAATCCATCTGTAATTTAATTTGTAACCCCCCCACAAAAGAACCTTCTCTAGCGCTTAATTTCTTAGATGGGTATTGGATGAGTTGGTTGATCACTCATTGTATTGATGCTTGTACGCTAGGTTGTACCAAAAATAAAGTCTAAAACTAGTGCTTTCACTAAATGAATTCAGGCATGTTTCAAATTGGTAAGGGTTAAAACTAGTGTTTTTGAGTCATAGAAGTGCTTTCTCAAAGCACCTGCTTTGTGCTTTGTAAGGAAGCACTTATCCAGAACATGAAAGAAAAACCATTTTTCCCTTCCCCACCCTCCATACCTCGATCATAGCCACCATTCACACATCATCTAGATGGCGTCCACCTTTTTCACCTTTTTATTGTCTCACTCTGTCTCTCTTAAATTTTTACTTTTTACGTGAGATTTAGCTCATCAAATTTCAAGTTTCTGGTGGCGGACCATAAAGTTTGGAAACTGGGGAGAGAGGTTGCTGGGGTATGTTTACAAGTAGGGGAGCTTGAACCATGTTTCGGTTTCAGGGGCAAAGCATATTATCCGACCGACAACCGGTGAGTGCCCAGTTGATGATATAAGATTGGGTTTTGGACAGAGGGTTGTTAGGGAATGTTAAAGGAGGATAATTTTCGTCCATTTGCAAAGGTTCAACAAAAATATGAAGTGTTTTTTGGAGGTAGATTGTCTGCCCTCGTGTTACCGTGCCCTTCTCATCCTCTCCTATTTGTGCGGTCACAGTTAAATCACGTCAACATTTTATATTCCTATTGTCTTTTGTCTTATTATCTCTATTAAAAAATCAATATAAAATGTTGACGTGGCTTAACCGTGACCGCACAAATAGAAGGGGATGGGAAGGACACGGTAACAGGAGGGCAGACAATTTGCCTCCATTCTTTTTCATGTTTGCTGTTTGAAGTTGTTCGTGACCACCAATGTCCCATTTCTCCCCTCTTTTTTTGTTATTTTTATCTTTTTATTGTTATTGTTATTTTTATCAACATCTGAGAATTACACATTTACATCCCTGTAAAATCTACGAGAGACATGTCTTTTTTATTGCCTTATCTTATTATTAATCCTTATTACTTCACAGATCATAAATAGCATCATTCTTCCGATTTATTCATCATACATACGGACTGCATTCTATCTTGAAAACGACTTTACATCAACACATGAATATTCATTACTCACTCATTTAAATATGTAGTGGACCACTACATGACATGTTAATTAAATTACAAACCATATACTTAATAATATGCGACCATCTATATCCTCAATTTCCAGTAGAGCATTATAAATTTAATTACTTAGTATGTCATTTAATTATATGTGATTACGAGACCCTTATAACAAGAACGGGACATTAGTCCATCGATATTTAGTTCTCGTCTAGTATGAAAGTGAGGCATGTAGCCCCATAAGTATATGAATATAAAATTCATATTCAAGCAATTAGAAGCATCTCACTCATTGCTATAGTCCGACGTTGAATTTTCAATTGCACTATTCATCTCGGGTATGGATTCGAGCTTTAATTTGAATTAATAACCGTTTGCCACTGGATCCTTTGTTTTGGGCTCTTCTTCACAGAAAACAATGGGCTTGAGCTGCTGTGCTTGGGCCTAGAGAGGGGTTAGGGAAAATTACCCTTTTGCCTGGTTCAATCCATACCTGACGGACAGAATCGTGGGGTATTTTAGTCTTTATGCGTATAGGGGGTGATGTCGGTGTCAATCTGATGGGTTGAGGGGCAGGGTTTGCCAAGTTCACCAAGTTGGCCACTTTTTATTCTAAAAGAAAAATGAGATGTATAAAAACTTGCAATAATATAGATTTCGAGGAAATATAGTGTTAGAACTTTTTATTCTTATAATTTTTTTATTTTTGAATTTCAAGCCAAAATGATAATCACTCGAAACTTCAAACTTGAGATTAATATAATTTAGTCATTAATTAAAAATTATTAGGTAGTTAGTAATACTCAATACACATGCACTGCCAACAATTTCAAGTATTACTACAAAAAATAAAGAAAATTAACGAGGAAGACGATTGTACCGCACCACTCTAGTTTAAATAATGTAGTGTAGAATGGGCGATTATGTCGCACCATTAAAGTAGCAAGAAAATTGAATATGCAGTGCAAGATGGGAGTGATTATACTACATCATCTAAAATTGCAAGAAAAATATATATGCAGTACAAGATGGGTGATTATACCACATCATCTAAAATTGCAATAAAATTAACATAAATAAACACTATGTTAGTAATAAGGCTACAAAATAAGAAATAAAAAAATATAAGTAATTATTAAATTGAGGACTAGTAGAAGGCATGATGGTAGCAACTCTTCATGGTGGTGGAAAGGGATCACAAAGAAGGTGTGGAAGAGAAGGAAGATGAATAGTAAAATTTTGGAGGAAACATTTTTCGGCGAAGGAAATGAAAATTGTTATGATTAGATAATTGTGCTGATAACGTGTTATAAATAAACAAAAACGAGAGAGAGAACCTTTGCTAGAAATCGAAATGGAACAAGAGCAATGTATCACACCGTTCATTTTCATAACTGTACCAAACAATGAATGCATGTAAAGTAAAGAGAGGGAAATTGGTAGTATTACTTCCTACTTTTGATCTTTATGTAAGGGAAAGAATTGGCACAAATTGTTTACTCATATATGTAGATAGAAAGATGGGGTAATTGTTACATTACGAAGGTCCCTTTATATAGGGAAACCTTACATCTATAGGAAACAATAACATTAGTGAAAAGTCATCATTCATGTTTACAATTTCATCTCCTAAGACATTTTTTTTCACCGAAAGTGTGACAACCAGTCCCTAATTTTACGATTTTATAAATTTTAAAAATGTGAGTTGACCAAAATGCCCTTATAAGAGAGATTGTTGACTTTCTTTGACCGTCTTTTCGTGATGCATATGAGCTATTATTTCACTGTATTCTTAAAATAATCGATGGTATGAACGCATAGGCACAAACAGAACTGAATTTGGGGTTACGACAAAGATTTAACAAACTACAAAACGTGATGGGCGTTTTGGTAAAATCACATTACGGTAGATATTTTTCTATTTCTTCATTGGTGACTTTGAGTTGTGTGCCAAGTGGGGCCCACACCACTCCTCCCATCACTCCCATGCCTCTTCTCAGTTTCTCTCCTAACTCTCTATTTTCACTTTTTCTCACCCAAACTATCGTTTTTCTCTGCACACACCGAGAGACTGTGTACCACACAACACACTTGCCACCTCTTCGGTGAACTCCATCTGAACCACCATCGCCGTCTCACTACCTGGACGAGTTCCATAAGACCCAAAAGCGAGGGAAAAACCCCCAGGTCTTTTCGTCCCTCTATTTTTTACAAACCATGACCACTATCACCATTCTCGTGATTGGAAAACCACATGATCACCACCATTCTGCTGCGGTGGAGCACCATCTCCTCTCTCTTGCCGTTTTACTCAGGACACCCTCGCTTGAGGTTTTTTTCCCATTCAGTGAGAACCACCACTACTCAACGTTTTCTCTGACGACTTCCGGCGTAGATCTTGTCAATCTTAGTGATGGTAAGTTTAAAAACACATTAAATGAAATCCTCTCATTATTTAGAATCACCTATGTGCGTGATATATGATTTTTGGGCTTGTTTGTAACAGAAAACACCTCGAGGAGACTCCCTAGATTGAGCTCGTTTAGAGCTCTAAAAGTTAGGCTTGCAACCTGCAAAAACTGCAGGTTTTGTGAAGAAGGCGCGTGGGAAGCTAGTGCAGCCACCTTGTGGTGGCACGTGCGGCAACACGTGGAGAAACTTGAGGTCCCTCCTTAGGTCTCTCGACGTGCCAAATCTGAATCAGCCCTCCATTTTCTAAAATTCGACCGTTTTAAAAGAGTTTTTTATTAGCCGTACTTTGTACAAAAATGCGTTTATATGTTAGTACGTTATATATTTACATAAATTGTCTCATTTCTAGGTGAAACGCATCGTAAGGATCTTCGATGCCCGTGAGGCGGGTTCGACTTAACGACATTTGTGAGTGGTTTTTTTTTATATATACATATATTTGTTTAGTTTCCATATATACATCTAATAATGAATTTTCTACGTGACTGCCGTAATTAAATTAATGTTTATAGGAAATGATGTAACAATGAAAATTAGTAAATCATTATAAATCCTACGATATGCCTTAATTAGATTTACGGCTATGAATAATATTATGTTGAATACATCTATTGAATCACTATGGCATGACTATATTTGTGTTATCTGTTCATCGTTTGCTGCATCAGTATTAGTACTAGCCTGAGCTAGGGCCAGTCTTTCACGTGTGTGTTCACATCATACTGTACACCCACTTTGGATCCATTGTAGGTGTCAGTCCTGTCCTAGATTGCTATAGACAATTAGGACTCGTATGTGATGCGCCTAGCGCAAGTCTTTATGTGATTGTAGTACTAGAGCGTAAATCATTATTACACATAGTCTGGTTCATGTTAGAATACATCTACATGAACTCGTGTGTCAGAATATGTCGATGAGCACTCGATGTGATATGTTTATTTTTGCTAGATATTGTGATTACTGGAAGTTATATGCCTATTTACAAATTTTATAACATATTGAATTCTTGAGATATTGCAGGTTACGGTAAGTATTTTCATACTATACGTGGTATGTATATTTTGGAAACTATAATTGTTTTATGATGAGGGGTTATAATGTTTTCAAAAAAGTTTTTATAAAACTTTATTTTTAGGCCCACTAACCCTTGTTTTTCGTCACTCTAGGTTTTAGTGCTAAGCTTTCATGTCGACGAGGATTCTTGGCAAATTTGATATAAGTGATTACCTTCGATGGTATAATTCTCATCATACTTTACTGTACTTACTTATGCTCTGACATCACGTGTGAAATTGGTTCATTCCCGCTCACAAGTGCACTGTTATATTTAGGCACTTTTAGGTTTAAATTTATTCACATTTTCCACATTACTACACTTTATGGCTTAGTCACATTCTTGGTGTCGGCTAGCACAACTTGATTCGGAGTCCAAGTGGACATTCCGGGTCGGGTTGTGTCAGAAAGCTTTAATTGTTGTCACGAAAATCCATTTTGGTTTGCTTTCTTATACATCATATGTGTGGCATTCACACTATATTTCACAACA